CTATTTCTTTTTAAACTCTCAATAAAGTCTTTTAGTTTCCATTGTTCTCTTGGTAAAATTTCTTGGTCGATCGGAATAGCCTCCTCGTAAACTATTTCAGAGAAAACAGTCCCCCGAGCAATTTTGCCCCGTGCTTTCCGAAAACTAAATAAATCAAAAAAATATATTCTCCGTTTTCCTAAATAAAAAAGTCCTTGTTCTTGGACTTCAAAAGAGTTATTTTTTATTCCTTTTTCCTCACAAAACTTATAAACTAAATCTTGTCAGTAAGGTTTGGAGCATTCCAGGCTATCGTGCCAATGTCTCCGTAATCAGACATATTTATTGGAGTTAGTGATTATGTTTTCTAAAAAAGTTCAGGCTTTTGTGTCAGTTTTTCCTCGTTTTCTTTCGGTTAAGTAAATGTGGAAAAGGGCTGGTTGATTGTAAATTTCAGGTCAATTTATATATTTATTTGCTGGCATATTTGATAGTTAAATTGTTGGTTCGTCTCTCTCTCTCTCTCTCTCTCTGGTCTTATCAGACAAGAACTCTCTTTTGGTCGTTCTTTCTTGCTGAAATTCCTGTAATTCTTTAAAAGTTAAATCACAACCAATAAACTCCCTTTTTAATTCTTGGCAAGCATCCAACACGACGAATGAACCAGCACACGGATCAATAATTAAATCTCCCTCGGCTGTGGTGGCTTCTATCAAGGCTTTTATTAATCCCTTCGGTTTCTGATGGGGATGTTTTCTTTTCTCAGCCGATAAACTGCTTTCCTCCCAGATATTCGGAAAGGAACGATTAGCAAACAATTTGCTATTAGTAGGGTTCTTTTGGCACAAAAAAGCAAATTCTCCTTTGCTACGAAAATAGGAGCCAAAACCAAAATTACTTTTACTTCACACTAAAAAATCTACTATCTTTAAGTTTGGGGCCTGTAAAAGTCAAGCCAGAACCCGATCCGTTCTCAATATTTCTTTGCTTACTCATAGCAAGCAAAAGGCCGAGGGTTTTAATATGCGGTTAATTTCTTTAACGATATGGATGATCTGATATTCAGTTTGGTAATGGAGAGGTCAATCTTTTACTCGGCTAACATCTCCCACTTTCTCATATTGAGGATCCAGAAAGATTAAAGAAGCCGTGTTATTTTCTAAACTGGACAACAATTCCAGGGCTTCCCCAGATTGTTTTGTGTTAAGTAAATATTGATTATTCATTATTAGTTAAAAAATAATTTCACGGGTGTATATAAGCAAGCAGAAGGCCAACGGGGTAAAGAGAAAATTGGTGGGTCTGTTGGTCGGTAGGCCTTTTTAAGAAAAAGTGCCTTACAATCAACCAGCCAACCAACTTCTCTCTCCCCGTTTGAGCCTTCCCCCACCTTTTTATTGCTGTTGAAAATCTAAAAGTTGCTTGTTGGTTATTCATTTTTTATACTTAAAGACTAAATTTTGGCTTAAAATCTCCATTTTGATTATTTGTTGTCATTTATTAGGGTCTAAATTTTCTTGGAGAGCCTGTAATTTCTCCGTCCCTACTTTTAAGACATAATAAGTCTGCCCCATTCTTTTTCCTTCCTTAAATTGCTTTTCGATGATTTGTTCGGGAGAGGTTAAAGAGCCGACCAAAGAATAAATTGAATAGTGTTGGGGTTGGGTTTCAGTGTAGTAAGAAATAATTTTTTTGGTGAGTTCTTGTAAACAGTTAGAGGAGAGTTGATTATTTGGTGTTCCTAATTTTTGGACTAAATATTTTTCTACTTCTCCCCTCTCAATAATTTGCTTGTTTTCTAATTGTTCTCACAAGTT